AGAAGTCGAGTGTGTAAAGACAACGAAACCCAATGAGGTAGCCCCCCCCCCCCCCAAAAAAAAATTTCTTTCAAATTCATCTATCAAATGCAAAAATCAAAGATGGAATAATGTAATAAAATTAAAACAGAGTAGGAGACACTTGTCCCAATCCAAGTGGTGAAAATCGCCTCCAAAATCGTCCAATTTCGAACTCCATAGCTCAAAATATTTAATATTACTCAAGGGCCCAAAATAGAGTACTTATTATCACTACTCAAATATATGAATCACAATCGCGGAAATGCCATCGCGATCGCGAAGAAGAAAAATTCACACTACCCTAAGACACTATGTGTGTTCACGAGCCTATTTCATACAAATGTGATGCCCACATATGCCAAAGATATGCGAATGTGTCCAACTCCACGCAAATACGAAAGAGGACTTCACTGCCTCTGAGCTGCCCAACTTTACACTATGCGACCGCGATTACACATAGGTGAATATGGTGCTCAATTCCCCCACAACTTGCACAAACGCGGTCTCACAATTACGAATGCGATGAAGAAAGTGCGTAGCTCTAGACTTACCATATGTGATCACGTCTATATCTTCGCGATCGACAAAAATATCTGTGACACCAGATAACAACAGTAAACATGTTATGCATAAAGCACTAAAATTCGTCCGAAACTTACCCGAGCCCCTCCGGACCCCTTCCAAACATTTCAACGGGTTCCAAGACATAATATGGACCTACTAGAGGCCTCAAATCAGACATAACAACATCAAAATACGAATCACAGCTTAAATCAAACTTTTGAACTTTCAACTTCCAAAACTCGTGTCGAACCATATCAAAACAACCCAGAATGACTTCAAATTTTGCACACAAGTCCCAAATGACATAACGAAGCTATTATAGTCCTCAAAACCATAATATGAACCCGATATCATCAAAGGCAACTCTCGGTCAAACCTACGAACTATCCAAACCTTCAAATTGCCAACCTTCGCCAATTAACGCTAAAATCTTCAAGAAACATCCAAATGCAAACCCGTGCATACACCCAAGTTCAAAATCATGATCCGGACCTGACGGAACTATCAAAGCTCCAATCCGAGCTCAAATACATGAAAGTCAAACTTTGTTAACTCTTCCAATTTAAAGCTTCTAACATGAGATTAATTTTCCAAATCAATTCCGAATCACCTAAAAACCAAACTGATGATTCACACAACTTATAATACATCATAAGGAGATACTCAAGACTTTAAACTGCTATATGGAATGCAAATGGTCAAAATGACTGGTCAGGTCATTACTATTGTAGACTCTTGCGATATTTGAATACCTCACAAGACACGCCCTAGAGATAGTTCCTCCAAATCTTCAGCGCGTGAACAATGGCGGCCAACTATAAATCAGGTACTAGGTAGTTTTCTCATGGGGCTTCAACTGACGCAAAACATAAGCAATCACTCTAACCTCCTTCATCGATACCCAATGCTAGTCTGCGAAGCATCACAATAAGTTGTATAAGAACCCAATGTTGAAGGTAAAACCATAACTAGAGTTATGGTCAAGGCAGTTTGAGCTTCTAAAAGCTCTCCACATACTCGTCAAACCACCTGAATGGTGCACACTTCTGAGTCAATCTGGCCAAAGGAGTTGTGATGGATGAAAATCCATCCATAAAACGGCAATAATACATGACCAATCCTAGGAAACTTTGTATTGACGGTCTGGGCCAACTCTAAACTGCCTCCACATTCTTCGGATCCACCTTAATCCCCCCACTAAACACCATCTGGACAAAAAATGCCACCGTATAAAAAAAACTCACACTTGAAGAATTTAGCAAACAACTTCATCTCCCTCAAGGTCTGGAGCACGATCCTCAAATGTTGCTTATGATCATTTCGGCTGCGAGAATACACCAATATGTCATCAATGAACATGATGACAACTGAATCACGATACGGCTTGAATACATTGTTCATCAAGTGTATAAAGGCTATTAGGGCATTGGTCGGCCTAAATGATATCATTAAAAATTGATAGTGACCACAGCGAGTCCTGAATGCCATCTTCCGAATATCTGAATTCCGAAATGTCAACAGATGGTATCCCGATCTCAAATCAATCTTGTAGAATACCCGAGAACCATGAAGTTGATCAGATAAATTATCAATAAGCGGTAGCGGATACGTTTTCTTGAATATAACCTTGTTCAGCTGCCTATAATCAATAAACATCCGCATAGAGTCGTCCTTCTTCTTCATCACAAATAGAATTGGAGCACCCCAAGGTGAAACACTCGGTCTGATGAAACCCTTGTCAAGTAACTCCTAAAGTTGTTCCTTTAATTCATTCAATACTACTAGCACCATATGATATGGTGGAATAGAAATGGGCTGAGTTCTTGGTACCAGGTCAATACAAAAATTGATGTCTCTATCAAGCGACATGTTCGGTAGGTTTTGCCTTCAGAAAAGATACCACCCTACTAGGAACATAATCCAATATATCTCTCTACTACAATCTCAGAAACCCTGGCATAGCCAGTGTCACAGTCTTGGCGTGACAATCCAAAATTGCATGATAGAGTGACAACCAATCCATGCCCAAAATCACATCAAAGTCCATTATATAGAGTAAATGAAGGGCAACCCTAGTTTCATAACTTCCTTTTCTGACCAAACACGACCGATAGACATATTCTACAACAATAAAGTATTCCATCGGCGTAGACACATAAATAAGGGTACTCAAAGAATAACGAGATATATCTAAATATGAAGAAAAGTAAGATGGCACATACGGATACGTGGATCCTGGATCAAATAAAACTTAGGAATTCCTATGACAGACTGGAACAATACCTGTAATGACAACATTTGATGCAACAACCTCAGTCCTACCCGAAAAAGCGTAACAACGGGCTTGGCCTCCCCCTCTAAGACGACTTCTACCCATATGTCCTCCACCATTGGATGACTGTGCAGGTGGAGTAGAAACTACAACAGCAACCATGACATATGTACCCTATGGAGGGCCACCTGTACTACGTCTAGGACAATCCTTCATAATGTGCCTATTATCACTACACTCGAAACAACCTCTTTCTGAGCGTAGTTGCTGGAACTGAGTCTAACCCGGTCGTCTAGAATGATTGTTGTAAGCACCCTGTAAAGGAGGTGCACTAGAGAATGGCTGTGAAAAATCAGTACTCTAAGGTCCCTAAATAGCTAGGTTGCGAGTGGCCTAAAGTGCATATTGAATTGTTCGTCTAATAAAATCTCTATCGTGACGGATCTTGCTCCTAAAGTAAGAGATCGTAAATACTCCCGAACCAAGAGGCCTCTTGGCCTCCCTATCCTCCCTCTCTTAACTACGAATACACTTGAACCTCCTAGCAATCTTCACAACCTACTGGAATAGAGTATCAGTCTCCAACTCCCGTGCAACACTAAATTAATTACCATAATTAACCCCCTCGATAAATCTGCGGACTCGATATCTCACTGTTGAAAGCAAAGCAGTACATGGTGGGATAACTCACTAAACCTCATGGCATACTCTGACACCGTCATAGTCCCCTGACCCAAGTTCTCGAACTATGTGCGCCACACATCTCAGAGGGTCTATAGGACAAACTCCATAAAAAATAGATCAGAAAACTGAGCCCAAGTGAGTGGCATTGTACCAACTGTCATGCTCTCTTCATAAGCCTTACACCACCTATATGTCAACCCCGTCAGATGAAATGTAGTAAATGCGACTCTGCTCACCTCTACCATTCCTATGGTGCGAAGAATAAGGTGACAGTGGTCTAGGAAACCATGTAAATCCTTAAAAACTATGTCACTGAAGGTAGGGGATCATACTTCTTGAACATCTCAAGCCTCCTCTGCCGATGACACTGACCTTACCTTAGGCTGAACTATGATAACAGGCTATGTTGCCATAACATCTGGAACCCGATCAACATGGACCCACCCCTCTAGAGTACGGGAAGCGGGAGTTTGTGCTCCCCCCCAACCTAAGAAGTAGTTCGTGCAACAAGGATCAATCCCGCTTGAGCCAAGGTACCAAACAATTTCAGAAAATGTGCCAAGGTTTCCTAGAGCCTAGGGGTAGCAACAGGCGCCTCGGGTGCCCTCCCCCCAATTGGAGCTACTGGTGGCTCCTCAGTCGCTTCTCTAGTATGTGTTTTAGCTGTGGCACGTGCCCTTCCTCGGCCTTAACCTTGTAGCCTCTCGAAGATAATCACAAACATCTCTGTACCAATCCGCAAGACTCTACTAAACCTACTTGTGGCTCGTAGAACCTATGAATTTAAGGTTGTGTTACAAATTTGTCACGACCCAAAATTCCTCCTTAGGAGTCATGATGGCACCTACTCTTCCAACTAGGTGATGGCGTCCAAATCCACTACTAGAAGTAAATGGACACGGTCGCATGCGATATAATTTACCCAACTATGAGTCGGGGTCGAATCTCATAGAGAACAATATGAAGGCGATTAAGCATAAAAGAGAATTATCACTTATTATGTTAAGCCAAACACTTAGAAAAGTTTTGAGAAAATATTTATAACTAATTGGAAAAATGTAAACTAACCTAGAAAGAAATTAAATATCAATTGCTACAAGCATGGATGCACGAGGAATTACACTCAAGTAACGATCTAATATATTTCACGATTTTACAAATATGAGCGAGTTTATATTAATTAGACTCGAGTAATAATTCTATATTAGCTTCTTCCGAAGACTAACAAGACTTCCTAATTGAATTACCACTAAAACAATCAAGAGATTAATCACACCCGAATATGACTACAAGTAGTTGAATCATATCCTTGGGTAGAATCTATAAAGTGAAGGTTAAAGCCTCAAGTTCTTGTTAATTAATCTTTCCCAACCCCAAATTATCTTTACCAAAATTAATTCAAAGAAAATGGGGGAGTCATAGGGTTAGCTAATCCCTTTGGAAACATTAAAGAACAAGAATAATTAAAGAAACAATAATTCACTTCATAATAAATAAAAATCGTTCAATACATAAGCACAACAAGATATTTAATCCACACTTTAAATATGAATATTTCCATAAATAAGATTCAAGTATTGGAAAAAATACTACACACTTAGATATACAATACAAAGTAAGGAAATAAAGACATGAACATAAATGGTTAAAAAATTCTCAACCAAAAGCTTCAAATCTTTAAGACCCAAGTGTGTGTGCAAGAACCCTAGCTCCAAAACTTGTGTTCTCTTGTAAAGGATGTATCAAAATTATCCAAAGACTTCCAAAGATGCCAAAGATATGTTTCTAAATGAGATAGATCGTGTGTTAAATGGCTTGGGGATCAAAATATCAAATTCCCATTTTGCCCATAATTTTCCCAGAAAATAAGCTATGCGATCGCATACAGATACCCCTGTTTGCGGTGAATAACTTCTTCAAAGCTAAGCGATCACATACAGAGACCCGCGTTCGTGTAACATAGTTGACCAGCCATTGACCAAGCTTTCTTCTTCGCATTCGCACAGCTCCAACTGTGTTCACGCAGCTTCAGTTTGCTGAACTTACGCGATCGCATAGAGTGCTCCACGAACGCATAGAGCATTCATTGGCAGCAATTAAATTTTCTCATTTTAACATGTTTTGACTTGGTTTCTTCCGTTTCTTCTCTAAATCACTTGATACGTGAAATATGCCAATAAACCTCAATAAATGTCTCGGATCTCATTAAAATCATTTAAAAGCCTAAATATCAAGAAGAGATAAGTTGGTAAAATACCAACTTATCAAACCCCCGAACATAAACTATTGATTTTCCTAAAGCAATTCAACAACTAAGAACATCCTTCCGTAAAATCAGCTATTAAGCCCAATGGCATACCAAACATCATTTTAAGTCAAAAAGGTTCAAATTAAACACAATCTAGTGACTTTGGTTGGTGAAAATAATTAATTCAAAGCATATGAATCACCAACTTCTCACAATTTTATTTCAATCAAGTGCTCAAATACCACATTAATTAAAGTAGCAACCAAGTCATGACACTAAAGCTTCAAAATTTGCCTCATTATCACCAACAATTTTTGTTTTCATTCCTCCTAATTGGAGATTGGATTAAGTTCACAACTCAAAATTTCATGTGCCCTCACATTTAATAGAGAATCCCAACTTATAAATTGCAATTTAAACACAAATGGGATATCAAATGGAAAGAATTAAGTTTCTCTCACAAAGATGTTCAAATGCACATAAGTAGTGCCATAGGCTTTCCCTTCATGTATTTCTCCACTAATAAAGACACTTGGTTCAAAATCAAGTAGGACTAAAGGATTGCAGTGTATGTTTTTGGTTAAAGTAGGGCATAATTTAGATAAGAGTGACTTAAAACCTCCCTAAGCACTACAATTTGCATTAATTAAAGCACACTTCCTTCAAAACTTTTTCCATCCTTTCTTCACCTTTCATTCAATGCTTAATCTTCCCTTTATTCACAAATCGTTATTTTTCCTTTCTCTTTCTTCTTTCTTACGCTTTTTGTTTTTCCAAGGAAGGCTCCACTATTTTTTTTAATTACCTTTCACCTTTTAAGCACTTTCTACATCACATCTTTTTCAACCTTCATCCCTAAACTTAGGCTTTTAGCCTATGTTTATACTTTCAACATACATAGGGAGGTAGGGTGCCAAAAGATAGATCAATAAAGAATGAAGGGTTAAAACTTGTAATATGGTTGCCAAAGAAAAAGTTTAAAGGCTCAAAAGGGGTTGAATAGGGAAAATATGCAAGGGCAGGAAATTTAGGACACAATAACGGTTCAATGAATGCCTTACATCATTTTGCAAACCAAGTTAGTCTAGGGTTTAACCTTGAAGCACATCCCGGGAAAGTTCTAGACTACAAATAATGCAAGAGAACTCACAATAAATCTCACCACACATGGCACATCCAAACTCGAGTGACATATAAATCCAAAATCCAATTAAAACCAATGAACCCAAAGAAAATCACATATAGCCTAAAAGACTATTTAATGAATCAAAGAGCCAAAAATAGAACCTAAAAGTTACAACAAGTATTATCACTTCAATCATTTTTCATTTTAAAGATCAAACTTCATATGCCATAGTTTAGATTATGTTGGTACCAAATAAGCACATGTTGGTTTATGGATAAAAAGATCATACCCAATAAACAATTTATTCACTACTAACTACTAAACTAAAAAAAGAAAAATTATTTACCTAAAAATAAATAAAAAACTAGACAAGACTAATCCCTTAAGAAAGTTGTCATGCCATCCATCATAGGAGAAAGTCACCTGGTTTGACACAAATTATTTTCTTGTAAAAGAACTGCGGCATAAAGAAAAACCAAGGATTTTGATTGATACTACTACAAGTAAATAAAGTAGCAAAATAAGAAAATAAAAATAAAAAACTAATATTGACGTGCAAGAATTAAACTTCAAATTATCACTAATAAACTACAACGTTAACCAATCTACACAAGTTCACAAAAAATAGTCATGCTCCAATCATACTCCAACTACATCATCACATGTAAATGAGTCACCTCCAACCTAAAGTGTTGCACTGTCCTCAATGCAACTAAACAAAACAAGATAAATTGAAAGACGTGCTCCCTGAAACTGCATCACTCGAAGCTCGAGGTGGTGGAAAATTTTAGCTCCAAATCCTCATCATCATCTTCCTCTGATTCATGTGAGTCATAGAATGAACTCAACTTGTATATCACTTGGACATGAATTTGCTTTTCTTTTTCTCATGCTCCTTGAATTTCAGCTGTCGCCTCTCTATCTTTCCTTGTCTTTGGCTCATGTCTTCCAACCTGTTTTTGATTGCTTTTTGGTCCTGAACTACATCATCTAGAGATGGCTTCTTACTAGTCCTAGTAGAAGTGCCCTTCCCATATGGACCAGACGGAAGGCCAGCTACAAGTTGGCGAATATGAGCATTGATGGTATAGATTTGACTAGAGA